CAAGGTGCTACTGTTTGCAACTCCAAATTGTTGTTGGGAACAGTAATTCGCTATTCGTAGTAACCTGTTGTTAAAAAAAAAGGAAAAATATATATTACGAATATAAACATAAAAATAATAAAAATCAAAATATATAAGTATTTATATGAATATTATGAAACATATACTAAAATTTGACGATAAAAATTTACTTTGTTCATGTATTTAGGGAGAATTAGAGAAAGTTAGGGATAAAAAATTCATAGAAAAAAAAATAAAAACCAATATAAACAAGCAATAATGAAGTAAAAATAATATTATTTCGATTTTTAGATGAAGATTCTAAAGTTTATGAGAGAGAAAAAAATTTGTAGAGTTTAGGTATGAGGAAAAATATAGGATAATGAAGAAAAAAAATAATTTTATTGAATTTAGATAGGTTTATAGAGTAAATAGGGAGAAAAATAGAGTTTAAATAGAGAGAGAAAACATTCAAAGTTGTTAGAAAGAAAATTTGAAATCTTGGGGTTGATGGTTGGATTTCAACTATTTATATTTGAGAAGGAAAAGTCTACAAAAGTCTTAATATTTAAAAGTCTACAAAAGTTCATAACTTTTTGAATACCACATGACTTTTAAAGACTCTTTAAAAGTCTTAATCGAATACCACACGACTTTTAAAGACTCTTTAAAAATCTTGATTGAATACCGCCTGACTTTTAAAGACTCTCTAAAAGTTTGAATTGAATACCTCCAAACTTTTAAAGTTCATAAAAGTCTCTTGATTGAATACCGCATGACTTTTAAAGACTCTCTAAAAGTTTGAATTGAATACCTCCAAACTTTTAAAGTTCATAAAAGTCTTTAAAACTCTATGAAAGTCATGATTGAATACACCCCCCTTAGATTCAAATGAGAATTTCTTGTTAACATTGAACTGTGTATCATTGTGCACAGTTGATATTGTTCAATCTTGTGGTTTATAATTAGATTAAAAAAGAACACTCATTCTATAATCAACGCCCACACACTCACACTTGTCTGAGACGTCTCACGGATTTTTATTCATGAGACAGGTCGGGTTAATATACAAATGTAATGTTAATATATAATAGCAAATGTAATACTAAATATTACATTTCATCTTAACTTGACCCTCACACAAATTTTTGCCTTATAATATTATTAGTTTGAAGGATTACAATTTTTTTTAAAGAGATGCATGGTTAATGGCATGCATATTATTTGGCCTAAAGACAACAAAAGAAAGTGAAACAACAAGTGGCATATGATCAATTAAAGAGTACTATTCTTTCAATTCGAAGGAAAATATTCTTAGGATGACAACTACAATCAAGTGAATTTGAAACTCTGTCAGAAGTTTGGGTAATTGCAAAAAGTCAGTATGTTTCTGCGAGATGTATGATGTGATGATGGGCCAAAACGCTTTCTTGTTTTATGACTACAAAAAGAACACTCATTCTATCGTCAATCTTTGATCCACATTCACCTTAACAAGAATACTAAGGCTAAAAATTTGGCTAATGAACCAGGGAAGGAGGGTCTGTCACACTTAATCTTTGTGCTTGGGGGTTTGTAGTGAGAAAACAGGGTCACTTGCTTGATCTTCATCGTTGGATATAGGAGTAGTGGAGTTCTGGTCGTCGAGGGATCCAGTTGAAACATTCTGTTTGGCTGAGACCTTGGTAGATCCACTGCTAGAATTCTTGGTTGCTAAGCCTTTGTAGATATTCAGAGCTTGAGCAATCATACTGGCAGGATCAGAAGCACTCGTTGGAAGCAATAGTGTTGTGCCCTACATTCAAGAAGCAGATATACACCAATATATAAGGACTATAGTGAATAATCAAAGGATGAATGTACTGCTCAGCAATTCTATATATGTGCCTCACCTCCTTTGCGATGTTGCCGAAGGCTTGAATGTACTGCTCAGCAATTCTAAGATTTGCTGCCTGGAAAATACCCAAAAGCCACGAGTTTTCAGTAGAAATTAGACAGAATGATGTTTCTAATTATTGTATGCACATGCACTCTTCCAAATCTTGTACATTTCTAATAACATACTGGTCTTTATCTTTATGTTCAAGATCAAATGTTCATTGGTATGCTTGAAACCAAAAATCAAAAGAGTCTAACCTCAGAACCCTCGTGTTCCTTGAGAGATTGAGAAACCATAACAATTCCTTTTGCTGTAGCTTGTGCTTTGGCAAGAATGGCCTCAGCTTCACCTGGTTGACACAAAGAGAAAAAAAAAATTCCAATTAGAATTGTGAGTAGTCAAGAATACTCAACATGAAATACATAGCACTTGGTAAAAACACGAGATTCTTGAACCCTAACAATCTGCTACTCCGTTTATTATTGCTTACTATTTTCGTTAACTACATTTCTTTTTTTTTGGTTTTGGGGAGATTGCAATTTATATTGGGGTGAAAATGCTTTTTTTTGGGCACATGGATAACAGGATAAGCTGAAGAGACAGCCCAATGAATTGTTCCATCTGAAATGTCAACTATTCAACATGCAGTTTCCACCTTAAAACAATCATGTACCTTGAGCTCTGTTAATCTGGTCCATTTTTGCTGCTTCTGATTCAAGGATCACGGCATTTTTCCTTCCATCAGCAATGTTAATATTTGCTTGCCTTTCTCCTGCAGAAACACAATCCATTATATCAGATATGCGAAGAAAAGCATCAGTGGTGGATCACAATAACAAGTGCACTGTTGAATTTTTAGGAATTTTTGCTTGTTATATATTTCAAACAATAAGGCAACCACAATAAACTGATATTTAGTGCTGTGCATGTTTACAAAATTAGAAAAAAAATTTAGTAAGCAATAAAACTGTAGGTAATAACAGCAAATATCTTGGTTTAAAAAAAAAAAAAAAAAAAAAAAAAAAAAACAGCAAATATCTTCCTTTTATGGCTCCTATGAGCAGAGTTCTAACTTTGCTGTAACAGCAAACTAAATATAAATCATACAGCTATCATGGTAAGGGGAGGAAAAAAAAAAAGGCTTAGAGCTTATTGGAGAATTTATGCTGCCTGTTCTGTAAGTCCTATTAGAAGAGGCATCAAAGAACCATACTCTAGCTTATTTCTAATAGTTATCATCCAAACTTAATCAGAAAATAGGTCTTTTTTTAAGCTAATACAATATCTTCCAATTTTGATGTGCTTTTCTCACTGCAATATTACAAATACACATCATTGCAACAAGTAATTTAAAAGTGACTCAAACACTTGCCAAGGGTACGCAGGTATGCTTTTAGAAATTGTACATCATTCATAGAGAAACAGTACAAGCTCTTTTCAGTATGAGATTTCTTATAGAACATTAAAACATGCCTTTACTCCCAATCTAGAGGCCAAACCTTCTCAGATGCTCAAAAACATGAAATGCACAATAACCAAAAGGGAAAAAGGATAAAGATTTCTCACCTTCTGATTCCAGAACTTGAGCCCTTTTCTTACGTTCAGCTTCTGCTTGCATCTCCATAGCTGCCCTAACCCCACGAGGAGGTGATATATCCCCTATAAAGGAAAGAGAAGTAATTGTTAAGCAATGAGAACTACTGAAATCAAAAGCAGACATAATCAACAACAAAGTCGCAGACTTATTTCATACTTATTTCATAACGGAGACACTTCAAGCCCCAATCTTTTGCAGCATCATTGATAGCCATCTGTAGGAAAATACATGTTTATAGTAGTCAATCTCAAACTTCTAAGCTGATGAGAATGCAACATATTAAATTCTTATACCAGCAAGAATTACAAGTGCACATCAATCACTTATCAGGAACACGACATAAGTGGAGTTAGCATATGCTTACCTCCTTTTTAAGCCAATTTTTGTACAAATAGTATTAAGGATAAACGTCAGTCCAAGACTGACATAATAGGATCAAACTACATGAGACTAATGCTATATTTGGATGGATAGAAGAAAATGGAAGAGAAAACATGAAAGAAGAGAAAATGTGTTCGGATGAGAAGAAAGAAAACAGGAATGGAGGAGAGTGGGGTGAGAAATAGAGATGGTGAATTTATTAAGAGGAAGACAAAGGGAAAGGTTCAGTGTATATATCTTGTATTGATAAAGAAAGAGTATATCCACCTATTTTAGTCTTTTACACATACTGGTAGGCAAAATATTTGGCAAGATGAGCATTATGTTTTCTTCCGTTTTATCTCACACTCCATTTTAGTTCTCATTCAAACAAGAGAAACTGCAGTTTTCCACCCATCCAAACGTTGCATAAATGATTTCAACTTAATAGGTCATGAAGCCACCATAGCACACATACACATATTGTAGAATATCAAATTTCATTTTCAAACAATTCTGCAAAACAGAATAAGCATTGAGTGGATCTCTGAATTGTTCAATTAGTCCATAGCAAGTAATATGTCAAATATAACCACATGACCCTATATGAGTACACACTAATGTGATAATGCAATCAGTTAAGGAGTTAAGAGTTAAAGGAGAGAGTAGGGGAAATATAGCAGAATAAAACTGAACTTCAATAGAAATCTCACCACTATCTTTTCATTTAGAGTATCCCTCTCCTCAAAAGTCTTGTCCAGAGTGATCTTACCAAGCTCACTACGCATAGTTGTTTGAGCAAGTTGAATCACAGCATACAACGGATTCTCAACTCCATATGAAGCCAGTTTAGGATCAACTATCTGCAATATATTAACCAAGAAAAACATATAAAGATGTTTTCAAAACTACACAGAAATTTGCATACAATAATTTAAACTTTTAAACACGCAAGACATTGTAAGAGAACTACCTTCACATAGAGAACACCGTCAATAAGAATGCTGACATTGTCCTTGGTAATAGCCGACTGATCCGGAATGGGAATGGCCTCTTCCTTGAGGGAATGAACATACGCAATTTTGTCTACTAACGGAATCAACACGTGGATTCCAGGAGTCAATGTCTTCACATACCTCCCGAATCGCTCAATGACGAAAGCCTTCTTCTCGGGCACAATCCGAACCCCCCAGTTCATAGGTGGCGGAATCTCATACCTAAACTAAAAATAAAACAAATTACAAAGGATACAAAACGCAGTAAAATTTTCAACAAATTCCATAAAAACGGCGGCGCGAATGAGCATGAAGGAACTGGAGTCATGCCTGGAGCTAGGATCGCGAGCATTACGGAATTGGCGGACAGCGGTGTAGCTGAAGGGGGAGGGATTACGCGGCGCCGAGAGACGATTGGCGAGAACGGAAGACTGCCCAAGAATGGAAGAAGAAGCGGTAGAGATGGCTCGGGCGGCCCATGACGGCGGAACAGATTGGAGGAGGTGCCGTATCTTGCTGAGATTACTAGATTTCACGATGTTGTTCATTGCTACTTCTCCGATTCAGTTATCTGAGCTAGAAACCGAAATTAAACTCAAAAAGATCCGATTGCAGTCTGAAGGAGCTAGAGAAGGAGTTTTCAGTTTTCTTGATTAATAAGCCCTAGTAAAACCCATTGACCCGATTGTGTGGCTTTGTCTACAAGAAAATATGTTCAAGCTGCTCATTCTCCCTTTTTAGTTTTCAAAAAAAAAATTGTTATAAAATTAATTTATTTTTTTTAAAGATTGAACTGTGTAATATTATACTTTAGACTATGGAATAATTAAAAATAATTAATAATTAATCTATCTATCTATCTATACTATATATTATATATAAAAATAAAATCTTAAACTTTAACTTCCCGTCTAATTCTTAAAAAATCTTACTTTCTAATAAAATATATTATTTTCTACTTTCATATTCATACTAAAATTCTAGGTTAAAATTCTTATTCTGATATTATAAAATCTATATTTATATCTACTATCTATACTTCTATACTATATAAGACAAAATCCTAAACTTTAACTTTTAGCCCAATTCCTAAAAAATCTCGTTTTCTAATAAAATATATTGTTTTTTACTTTCCTATTCGTACTGATATTATAGGTTAAAATTCATATTCTAATATTATAAAATAGTGTAATCTCGCTTTCTAATAAAATATATTATTTTCTACTTTCCTATTCGTACTATAATTCTATGTTAAAATTCCTATTCTAATATTATAAAATAGTACAACACAATTTCTAATAAAATATATTGTTTCTTACTTTCCTATTCGTAATACTGTATGACAATATATATATATATATATATATATATATATATATATATATATATATATATATATATATAATTAAAAGTAAAATCCTCCTTCTAACATTTTTCCGCCCAAACACATTGTAATTATATAGAATACAAGAATATTTAATTATGATTCTATTATTATCGTGTCTCACCGAATAGAATACACGAATATTTAATTATGGTTATATTATTATTGTGCCTCACGGTCAAAATGGAACGGAAATTAGATAAAAATATCACTGCATCTATATTCTAATTGACTAATTGTCTGAAAGTATATATAAAAAAAATAATTGACTGAAAATGAATCTAATATTACTAATTTACTAAAAATATAAAAGGAAATGAATATTAAAAATTGACTGCAAATAAATATGATCCATACTGACTAAAATAAAAAAAAAATAGTCAGATCATTGTATTTTAATTAAAAATTGAACAGAAATTAAAAATTAGACGAAAATATTTCAATAATAATATTCTACATCATCAACAGTAAATGCATATTTTAAACATGAGTAATGTAAATTAAAAATGGAACGAAAATATTTCAATAATAATATATACATCATCAATTAAAAATGGAACGAAAATTAGGTAAATATATCACTGTATTTGATATTCTAATTGACTGAAAATAAAATATAAAAAAAAGAATAATTGGCTGAAAATGAATCTGATATTACTAATTGACTGAAAATATAAAAGGATCACTAATTGAGTGATATTCTACCATTATATATTTTCACCCGAGTAACCCATCCTGATGGACTGAAGATGTTAGCTCTATACGAAGATGGACAATATTGTGTTGCCAATACCAATGTCGTTTAAAAAGAGGTTTCAATAATGTGTAAATATAATCGGTGATATTATGTTTTTTTTTTAAATGGAAAAAATTGCTATATATCTAAACAAAAAATATATCTTCCATACAAATGAATTAGCATAGCAATTCATTCCTATAACTGATAGAATTGTTAGAGAACGAGCACATTTGTCTAATTTATAAAAAATACTAAACAATGATAAATAAAATTTTCAAAGTTATAGCACCGCATGCATACATAAACGATCCAAGTCATATCTTTAATTGCACTATATAATATTTGATGTTCTAATTTAAACAATTATATATCGATTCAAATATTATTAATATATTACAACAAATCTATTCCGTGCATCACACGGGTGAAAATACTAGTTATGATAATAGAAATTGTAGAATAATATGGCAGAATATAGACTACATAATTAAGGAAATAATATCATGGTCATATTTCACGAACTTTTTATTTTGAATTGACTCATTTATTATGCATAATTCTAAATGATATTTTTCTGCCTATTGATGTGACCCGTACGTTAAAATCCTTATTTGGCTAAATTATGAAAACACTTGGTATTGGCTTGGGATTCTAAGGGTGGCTAAATTATGAAGACACTTGGTATTGGCTTTGGATTCTAAGGGATGTTATTATGTTAAAAGTGGCTATAGAATCATTGTTGGAAATTATGTTAATAATGAGGTCACTTTTGATAAGTGACTATCTCTTTGGAAGATTAAAATTCTCCCTAAATAGAAAACTTTTTTTACGGAGATCCTTAAGTGATATCCTTCCACTACCAAGAACTTGCTTATAAAGAGAGTGGAGGTTGATCCTACTTGTATCATGTGTGGTATCATTCATGAGAACACTATGCATTCTTTGGTATTGTGTGATTTTGTAAGCTCCATTTGACGTGTACTCAACTAACCATCTAACATACTCGAATTACAACTCATAATCCCTACTCGAATTATAATATTCTAACAAATCATAGTCCCGAATAACATCTAGCGTCGAACCATTCTTAAGTGGTTAGTTATGAAGACCCTATGAAATCATTCTTAACCGGTTAGTTATGAAGAACCCTAAGTTAATTCGTCTCTTTGTGATACCACCCCAAACACCTCAAATAATAATCACAAATTTTAGTTATAAACATCTCTAAATTATTTCAGCTCCTTGTGAAATTGTAATCCCACACCAAACACCCTCAATTAGTGATCACAAATTTTACTCATCACTCAAACAAATAAAATCATATGCAATTAGTAGTTTCTTATCAATTTTAGTAAATTAGTAGTCTGTTTCTTGAGGTAGTGTTCTAACATTTTCTTTAAATATACAAACAGCAATCAACAAGGACAAGGTGGTTTGTATACCATGGCATGATTCATGGGATGAGAAGCTAAGGGAAAAAGTTGATTTCATTCTTCTTTTCTTTGATAACACAGTTCAGTAGTTCACAACACAACCAAAGTTGAGAAGAAGCTATAACTACAATGAAACATGTTTTGATGGTGACAATAAATATGAAATCAAACAAAAAACTGCAAAAGTAAGCCGAAACTAGTCTTTGAAACTGCTTTGGATAATAAAGGGCAAGCAAACAATGAGGAAAAGATGAGTCTTTGCTTGTACTATTCTCTCAAACTAGCTAACTACTCTTCCACAACAATGGTTCCCTTCTCACTGACATATATCCCATCAAGGAATTTCCTGATATCCTTGTTCTTCACATGGCATTTCTGCAAAGGAAACAACAGTGTAAGCCTCAAATGTGAAGTTCAATAGTTTTACTCCGACTAAATCGACAATGGTGTGTATATATGTATAGGGAGAGAAATGATTTACTTGGTTAATAAGGGCACATGATCGAGACACGAGTTCAATGTCATTCCCATCCAATACTAACTCATCCTTAACCTTTTCAGACCGGACAACAGAAACTCCCTCAAGCATGTCAACTTTCCGGACCTGAAAAAATGAACAAGAATGAGAAATTTGTTGCCTACACTGTTGGTTTTTACATTCAACTAGCAAATTAGGATTAAAAACAATGCAAATATCATATATAAGTATCAAATCAAGAACAATCCAGTCAAAGAAAAAAAAAACAGTAACAGAGTATAAACTGAAAAGACATACCATTGTGCCTGAAAAGTACACCCTGTATGCTAATTGATGCACAGGAATCAATTTTTACCTCAATTTCACACATACTGATCATAGAAATTTAGCTCAATACATGTATCAATGTACAGATCAACAGCTAGACAAACTAAGTTGAATAAGTAATAGGCATTGAAAGAACTACAATATAATCACAATTATATGTGCGCTATACAACAGGCATATGAAAATACAGACCACTAAAGCATCTAAATCCAAAACAAGCCACACTTACAATCATCATATAAATAAAGAGTATATGTATACACATTTGCTGAAAAATTTTGTTCTAGTTATCATATGCGAACTCATGAAGAAAATCACAGATCTATCAGCAGATATTGGAAATGGGCATAAATGAAAGATGAAGTTTCATTAAATAAAACAGAACGTAATCAAAGAGAGAGGGGAAACCTTCTTCTCGCCAAGGAAGTTACGGATCTCAATAGACTTGTTTCCATTGGTGATGGAGGCGTTGATGGGAAAGTGAGCGTAGACGAAGCGCATCTTGTATTGGTAACCCTTCGTGACGCCGGTGATGAGATTATCAACGTGGCTGAGCGCAGTACGGATAGCGGCGGTGGTTTTGCGCGATCCGAACCAGGCATCAACCTTCAGCTTCCTTTTTCCGGTCTCCCCGTCGGTAATGAGTTGGAAATCAAGGTTGAGATGCTTGAAGTTGCGCACAAGCTTCCCTCTAGGCCCTTCAACCTCAATTTCCTTCGCCTTCACCTTGATCTTTACCCCGTCCGGGATGTCCATCGTCTCCGAGGAAAGTATCGTCTTCATGCTTTCTCTCTGTCTTCTCTCCTCTCCCTCTCTCTCTCTCAGACACAGAGTCAGCACAGAAACCCTAGGACCCCATGAGGTTGAAGCTTTTATACAATACGAAAAACCCTAGAAATGATAACGGGTCTTTGTTTTTGGGCTGGATGGAAAAAAGAACGGCCCAATACTTACAAATTGGCCCATAAGTACATTAAGGCCTAGTATCAAAATTTCAAGACATACTCAGGTCAGATGGCCCAATATGTATAGTAAAAGAGATCAGGGCAGAAGAATCTTATAAAGTTAGATTAGATGCACTTTGGGCTTTATTGAACCTTTTAACATTATAGGAGTGATTGCACTTTTACTTTTTTAAGGTTTAAGGATTTGGTGACGTTTTGGCCCTAAATAATGAAATGCTACTTTTGCTGTTCTGCAAAAGGGAAAAAGGTTTTGCAATCTGCTTTGTCCTTTTCTTGTGACAAAAAGGTGGCCGCACATTCTTGCAGTCTTGTCTTTGTAGAGGGGTTAATTATGGTGGTTTAATTGATTAATAAAAATTAGACTTTTGTTTATTGTGCATAATAAGTTCTCTTATT